GGCTTAATTGTGTTGCAAGTGCCATAACACTCATACTAAAAGAAATAGAATAAAAACAATCATTAGACTGACGTAGGACAGAAACATAATGAAAATTTAAAAAATCTTGCCGAAATCATTAAAGTGAGGTAAACACTGGGAAGCATACAGTGCAAGCAGCCATTTATAGGCGCTAAAACCCTAACATACTGACAAGATCTTTCGCTTTCTAAGGCCGGGTACCCATTTGCACCTGGATGAAGTGAGGAAAATTCATGTAAAGTCCCAAGGACATAACGTTGGGCCCGTGGCTCGAACCCCCGACCCCGCAACCTCACGACTACGAGTCCGGTAGCCTAACCACCGACGTTACTTCCTTTTCATTAAATGCTAATTTGTCAATTGGCACAAATGAGTTTTTAAAAAAATTCTAACTGAAATTACCTCAAAATCAACAAATTTTAGGTTTGCTTCCGCCCATTATACCTCTGCCAGTAGGCCAGAATTCTAGCAGCACAACAAACACTTTTTATCCCTGAGAATGCCCATGTCTGGTTTGATCATAAGCAACTTCCATATTTTTACTTTGCATACTCCTTGAGCGTGATTTGGAAGGTAGAGTATTTAATATAGTACCATTTCACTGCATCTTAGGAGAATACACAGAATAAACTAAAAACTTCTAGGATTCGAACCTTGGACTATAATGGAGAGAGAGACATCAGAGTCATACTTAACTGCAACCCCATTTTCTAGAAGAGAAGGCACACCTTCCCAGATTTAAAGAAAATAAATGCTTTTATGCAAATCTGTTGACAGTTTCTATATGAACAAGTCACGGTGTCGTGCTGCTTGTGGTTAATGATAAAGGGTGGGTGCGAACGTACGAGCGTCACTGGGCCACACCCTCCAGTGTTATGTTGGACCATATTTCAACGGGAACAAAGAGAAGATTTTATTGAAGTTTGATCAATCCAACAATGACCCACAAAAAGACATAATATACAGATAATACGGATTAATAGGCGGGTCCTAAGTCTTGGGAATAATAGACATTTAAATGTGTATATTTCCTGACTGTTAAGCGATGGAACAAAGAGACCCACATAAAAATCGAGGGTTAATTAAAAGTTTCTTTGCTGAGACTGTGAACCCAGGTCGCTCCCACGTGACGCTAACATGTGACAGGAGAAAAATAATATGCATTATCACTTTACAGTTTTGAGAGATGCAGTTGGGCTAAGAGTGACTCCAACCTTATAATAAAATTCAACAATTATGACTCTGTCTGGATTGACAAATTCATGTAATCGTTTACAAAGCAAAATAGAGATTAGTTAGAGGGCCGCTGATAAATTCCATTTTCTAAATATTTTCTTCGATTGTTTCTGCTTTTATTTCTTCCAAATTTTCCTTGCTCTAAACAGGTGTTGTGTCGATGTGCTGAAACAAAGACATTGATGGCGGAAACTAAAATCCCTGAAGCTAAACTTGACACAACTACTGGGGCTATGGGAATGATAATAACGAATGTCAGTCTATGCTGGGTTTGTGTTTTAAAGTAAGGGCACATTTTGATTTTTTAAATGAAGTTGTTGTCGTAAGAAAAAGGATTGATGGCAAGGGTACACGCAAAAACGACAGATTTTCAAAAGTGTTTATAGCCACACCACAGCCATAACCAGCTGCGCGCCTACTGAAAGCTCAGAGGGTGGAAAATGTGAAATTGTGTATTAGTTAAACGTCGCTTGAAACACTATATGGTTTTTATTTAAGAGGCGAGGCCTCCGAATTGAAACATCCATCTCCGTAAGGCCGGAGCTAAATAAGAAATTCGTGAACAGCACCTTTCCCAGGGACGCAACGTCAGACCGAAGTGAGGCTCGAACCTCCAAACTGCAATATCTCAATACACGTGCGGTAGCTTTAACCACTACGCTACCTCACAATCACTGAGTTCTACAAGACGTTTTTGGCTGTTTTGAGTTTCTAAGACTATGAGGTCAAACTAACAACGTGTTGTATCTGCTCTATTAAAAATCATAAGATTATTCGGAGTCGTTATTAAGATATTCAAAGAATCGCATTCGAAAAAGCTTGACATTATGTGAAACTTAAAATCTTTGACGTCAAATTTCTCAAAACTAGGCACTGAGCAGATAAAACTGTGTAATTCTGAGGTAGTGACTAAGCTTCAGACGCCACTCAACGGATGGGAACAGGTCCTAATTAAAAGACTTATAAACAAAGCGCAACTGACTGACTGCTGCTAAAGTCCTGTCAGAGATATGTCCCTGCAACATGGCCCCTAGGACCACAAAACACTTCTTGAAAAAAGCCCTCAATACAAAGAAAGTCCCAGAAAGGACACATGGCCAGAGCCATTGGCCATGACAGACATCTCTATTGAAATTTCGAAATCGGATCGTCACATTTGTCGCCATCAAAGAAGGCAAGAGTAGAAAAAGTTGGGAAGGGGGGGGGGTTGTTGTTTTGGGGGTTTTAAAAAAACCTAATCTGAAGGTAGAAAAATTTACGATGTCGTAATGGATATCACAATCAACGACAACAGCAACACAAAAAGACCGACCGTTGAGAGATCATGAGTCAGGACTCGGTATTAGGGGGAATAACAAAGTTATGGGTTGCAATATACACAATTTCAGCTTTAGTAAATTACTCCACTGCTGTTCGAAGTAAATTTTTGTTGGGTAATACGTGTTTATGTATTCGGTGTTTTCTACTATTACAAATTGGCAGTAGTCAAATATACATAGTAATTTAGTCAAACAAAAGCCACAGCCTTTATGTTATGCCCTTTTGCTGCTTTCAGTGAAAACAGATTAGATTGGTGAACAATTACTGGATATGTCACATAAACTGACGGACTTGCTGGCATGCACACAGACAGACAGACAGACAGACAGACAGACAGACAGACAGACAGACAGTCAGACAGACAGACAGACAGACAGACAGACAGACAGACAGACAGACGGAAGGATGGATGGATGGATGGATGGGTGGATGGATGGATGGATGGATGGACGGACGGACGGACGGACGGACGGGCGGATACACACACACATACACACGTATGCATACATTATCTATCTATCTATCTTTCTATCTATCTATCTATCTATCTATCTATCTATCTATCTACCTATCTATCTATCTATCTATCTATCT